CTGTAAACTTCTGGATCTGATAGTTTGACCACCGGCAGCGATAATCCTTGCCCTTTTGAAGAAGAGGATTTAGGGCATGTCTGGTAGCAGATTTAGAGGAGGATTTAACCTAAATTTAACCTAAAAAAACCGCAGATTTGATAAATCCGGATTTCACGGGATTTCCCGGATTTCGCCTTAAATCCCGTGAATCGGCGGTTTCAGTAAATCCGGGATGGGCTTTTGCGCTAAAAGGAAGATCTGAAGTTGCCTTTCTCAATGATTTCGGGTAGGAGAGGAGCAGAAGAATGGGATCTGCGGGTCTCTGTAAGCCGTGATCCCGTCGTTGCGTTCTCAGCCAGCTCTAATTGCTACTATATCGCGCGAGGGTTCGGTTAGGAAGGCGATGGATTTCGACGAAAGAGAGCGGAGTGATGGAGGCCAGGGTTTTATTAAGTTAGCTTGTTTAATTTAATTTTATTAATTTAGTTTATTAATAATTAATGATTAATATTTAATTAAAATAAAACTTGTGTAGATGAAATAAATTCGAATTCAAAATGACGCACATCTCTATCGGGATCACCTTTAGTCAATCTCTTATTTGTCACCAACCGTAGGGAGCAACGTCTCCTATTATCAACATTGCAGTGCTGCGCAATAGAAGACACTGAACGAGCTATCTCAACCGTATTCTCAAAACCATGAAATGACAAAAAATCTGGCTGCAACTCATTAGAACTGTGATAGGTGACTTCATATTTAGAATGATCTAGACTTCTCCTATTGCTATCAAATATATCCGAAATTTTTGGTAAAAATGCAGGATTCATGTGGTTTAGTTTATTCCACAAGGACAACAACCAAGGGTCAAGGGAACCTTCATACCCAGAGGGGTGCTGATCATCTCCCAAGCCTCTCTCTATGATAGGTTTTGCCCCAAGATCTATAATCCTTCTATCCAACTTTTTTGCAGAGAAATTGTACTTTTGGTAACCAGAGTCTCCAAGTCCGAACACTGCATAATTCAAACCATCCAGCCAGTTATGACTCAAATGCTTCTGCAAAAGAAACTTCCAGAAAACCTTCATGGAATCCGGGTTCTCTCCTTGGCCAGTAGTTGACACAACAAAAATGACTATTCGGTCCTCGTGCAAAAAGCTCGCATCGAATGCATCCATGGACAAAATATCAACAGAAGGGCAGCCACCACGTTCCGCCTCTCTTCCCACGCGATCTGCGACATCCATTGCATTCCCAGTCTGGGAAGCGTAAAGCACAAGGAGACGTGGTGTTTTCCCTTCAAAATCCATTCACTCGAAAAACAATTGAAAAACACCGAATGAATCCGAATTACAGCAGGCGAGAACCAGCGCCACAGCCAAAAGGGTTCTGCAAAGGACGAGAGTTCAGAGGTGGAAGAAGTGTCCGCCCTCTAGTGAAATAAAAATGTGCAAGGAACTAAACAGAGAAATGGAATTTGATCTCTAGAAGGGAGCAAAATTCGGAATAAAAAATTTTATATTCATTAATTGAGCAGAAAAAATAGATTACTGGTGAGATCAGGAAAAGTACCATTTCGTGTGCTGTAAACTTCTGGATCTGATAGTTTGACCACCGGCAGCGATAATCCTTGCCCTTTTGAAGAAGAGGATTTAGGGCATGTCTGGTAGCAGATTTAGAGGAGGATTTAACCTAAATTTAACCTAAAAAAACCGCAGATTTGATAAATCCGGATTTCACGGGATTTCCCGGATTTCGCCTTAAATCCCGTGAATCGGCGGTTTCAGTAAATCCGGGATGGGCTTTTGCGCTAAAAGGAAGATCTGAAGTTGCCTTTCTCAATGATTTCGGGTAGGAGAGGAGCAGAAGAATGGGATCTGCGGGTCTCTGTAAGCCGTGATCCCGTCGTTGCGTTCTCAGCCAGCTCTAATTGCTACTATATCGCGCGAGGGTTCGGTTAGGAAGGCGATGGATTTCGACGAAAGAGAGCGGAGTGATGGAGGCCAGGGTTTTATTAAGTTAGCTTGTTTAATTTAATTTTATTAATTTAGTTTATTAATAATTAATGATTAATATTTAATTAAAATAAAACTTGTGTAATTATAATTAAATAAATTTATATTTATTATTTAATAATTAATTAGTAAAACAATGAATTATAATTTTTATTCATTCAATAAATTTATAAGTATTTATTAATTAAAATAAACAATAACTAGTTAATTATTCTAACAAGTTGCAGGAAACTGGCGGAGCTTTAAAATAGCGTCGCTAACAATGGCCAAGTCGAAGGCTGAGCCGGCTGGCCTCGGAAAAAATTAGTTCTGGGCCCACTCGATGGGCCCCGTTAGTACTTGTTATGCGCGATTATTTAAAGCAATGCCTCCTCGGAGGTGAGATCGGCGCAGAAAAGAAAATGATAATTAGTAGAATAGCATTCTTTTATATAATATTTCTAAAATAACTTGTACACTAGTTTATTAAAAAATTAATAATTAAATTTCTATATAATTATATATTTTGTGACAAATGGAAGTCTCGCCATTCGAAAATGTTAGAATTAGCTAATGTTCTGATGTTGCATAAGCACTAGCATTTAATCATTCATAAAGAACAAAAAAATCATATTTTTCAACCCATTAAAAGTATATATTGATACTCCGCCAATAAATTTTCACCATCCATCACGAATCTCAAGGCATGACATGAATCTCGAGGCATTCTTTTGAACTATAAACATTAAACTTCAATTAAGAGTCATCCAAAGCTTTGATTTCAGTAAACTTATGTCAAACTGATCGGCTCAATGAGAATGACCCAATAATATAAAAACTAGTTTAATCCGAGTCAAATCAAGCCCGGATTAAATCATTAAATCACTCTTGAAGAATTTCCTAAGGCATTTGGAAGGTCAAAAGGATGTGGAATCTAGCGAGTTCATAGTTGAATCGAGCGTCTCGACAAGACGAATCCAACGAGCCAAATTTGCTCAATTCCGACATTATTAAGCACTCAAATGTCCATTAAACGTCATTCGATAGAGGGAAGCTCTCTGAACCGTCCAATCAAAATAGTTCATATTTTTGCATTAATTGCACTCATAACATTATAAGTAGAGTCTCACCCCTCACATGAGACATGACGCTTGAGAGATAACTAATACTTTAAGAAATAATTCAAGTCCAACATCATCTATGTCATCTTTGATCACTGTCGACCACCACCGCCGACCTCCGTCAACCACCACAGGTCGTTGTCGAGCATCGCCAACCACTGCTGACTTATGTCGACCACCGCTGACCGTCATCGACCATCGCCACCGCCGCCGTCAACCATTGTCGACATCCATCAACCACATCCCATCGTCATCGACCCCCATTGACTTCTGTTGACCCTCATTATCTTTCGTCGATTACCACCAATCATCATCAATCACCACCAAATGACGCTATCAGTCGACATAATATTTTAAAAATCTAATAACGTATTCACGTATTTGAGACAATGTGTCTTCGTAATCATCAACCTATATTGGATTTTTATAAATGGGTCATGCCCTGTGGTTTTTTTATTTACGGGTTTTCCATGTAAAAACTTTTGGTGTCATCACAGGTTGTTTTTCTTTCATCTGAGTGTGCGTTGAATCTTCGTGTAACGTTAAGACAATATATATATATATGCTCACTTTCAGGTCTGTTGGTAGAGCATCTGTTTCGGCGGTGTAAGTCTCTTCTGTTTTGGGGTTCGAATCGCACATCTGACGACTGTTCCCTTAGGTACTTGAATATTTAGACGCATCAGTTGCCCCCATATCTGACCGGGGTTGAACCCATAAAGTGGGTTGGAGATCTCACATCTAACCCATTTTTTTCTATATATATATATATATATATACACCAA